TATATATATGATAAAAAAGTTTCAGACATAGAGAAAAAAAAAGCAAAAAATAGAAAAATTATATTAAGTTAGTATTGTTTTATCAATATGTTCTTTTTCAAGTATATATTTTCTTTTCTACTTCTACAGCAAAAAACATAAACTCCGAATTTTAATCAAGCCATTTTATTAAAAATTTAAAATTATTCTAAAAAAAAAATTAAAAACCAATATCTCTTTCTAGGAGAATTATTGCAATAAGTAAGTTTCATTCTTTTAGAATTTTCTGCAATAATAAAATATTTAGTAATTGTATATTTACCGGATGAAGATCGATGTAACTTTCGTGACGTTCTTGTCGAGGTTCCAGCCCGACGATTTTTTCGAACAATGATTCATTACCCGTGTAGAAATGAGGGAAGGAAGCGATCATCGGTGTCCCAAAGTTGCAGGCAGAAACGTTGAGCGTTCCGGTTGGGGGACATATTCTGATGGTTGAATCGTGCGACTCCTTCGGGCAAAAACACGAGTCTTTGTTGCGAGTCGACGCAAAAACGTTGCTCGATAATTTGTACCTATGGTCATTCGACTGGTGAAGCGTTTCGATGGACAACATTTTCGCCTGCGCATTCGTAGGTAAATTTCTTTCAAAACGAAGAGGAAGAAAGAAAAGAGCTAATATTATTGAGAGCTCAAATTTCATTGTTTCCAATGCAATCGTAAAAAAACCAAAATTTATATTGGTCGAAAATTTTACATCTACAGGTAAGTTTATTAGTTCATGCGTGTTGATGAGTGAACAACAAAGTTGGGAAAAATTTTTAATAAAATAACGATTTTATTAAAAAAATTATTCATGTATAAATCTGTAACATTATTTAAGAGAAATTTATATTATAAATAAAATTTTATTCGTTATTAAGAACCAGTAGTGTAACATCATATACTTATATTAATCTTACATCTATATAGGATATCCCAAAAATTATTGGAAATTGACTAATTGGAGAACAGAAAATAAGTGGAAATTTAAGAGCAAAGTAAGTAAGTAAAAAAAGAAGGAAACATTAAAATAAATATAATTGAAAACTTTATAGCAGATTCATTTTTATAAAATTTAAGAAAATTAAAAAAATTTCTTTTTGACTTAACATTAGAAATAAGAAAACATATTAAAATATATATTTCTATATAATAAATAATTATTAAGTTAATAAATTTTTATTTTAACATTTCGAATTTTTCAAATTTAAAGAACATTTCAAATTTGCATAAAGTAATAAAAAAAATTTTAAATTTGAAATAAATTGTTCATTTTTTTCATCGAATCTGTATCAAATTTATATTAAACGATACTTTTTGCATAAAAATATAAATAATATATATAATAAAGATTAAAAACCTATTAAAAACAAATTTGCATTCGTTATAAATTATATATTATTTAATATTTCCTATAATTTAAGTAAAATTGTATTGTGTTCTTCATTTTCAAAAAATCATTAATACATTAATATAATTTTTGATAAATTGAAAAATAGGAAAATTATCAAATCTATAATCATCATTCTTCAACCAAAGATGAATTCAAAAATTACTGCTTTTGATTTCGATTTCATTTTTTCTTTTTGGTTTTAGAATGATTTATATTTAAGATTATTCCTCTATGTTTATTCTTGGATTTATTCAAATATGAGATTATTCATTACTAATGAATAATTTCATTTATCCGAATATTTGACTCTGCTTCTGAGCTCCCAATATACATATGCAGGTCATTCGATAGAAGTAAATAGAAAGTTTAAAAAGAGATTCTAAAAACTAAAATAAAAAAGATTTTAAAAACAAAAATATGCAAAGATATCCATTGAAGCTTATCTTTTAAATTATAAGCAATTTAATTTTATGTTAAATAAGATTGCAGTAAAACGTGACGATTTTATCTCGATCATATTTTATCTCCATCTCGTTTCACCTGATGCAAAATTAAATTGCTCATAATAACAAGCATTAACATTAATGAAAATTTTTGCACATTTATAAATTTTTGTACTTATTTTAATCTCTAAAATCATTTCTTAAATTTTATACTTGGATATTTTTCAAATAATAAAGAAAGGAAATATATAATGGTTCATTGTAATTTTCCATATTACAATGAAGATATTTAAGGTTAAGATCTCTCTCTTATTCCATCTATTATATTTATATAATTTATATCTAATGATATATTGTTTCCATTAATAAGAAATATAATTGACATAATTTGGAACTGTTTATAACATCTTAAAAAAGAAATATTTTTTGTAAATTAAATGAGTTAAAGTGTGTGTTGAAATGTATTTGATAAAAGAATCGATATTTACAAAATTGATCATTAATATTTTAAAATATTTTAAAATATATATACAATTATAATTTTAAAATATAAAGTTAAAATTTTTAATAGTGACCATTCATATGACACCTTCATTATCATATGAACATTATTTTATTCTTAATTTCTGTTATAATCATATAAAAATAATTAGAATAAATTTCTTGAGATCCAGATCTCAAAAAAGATTATAAATCAAGAAGATCAAAGATATGAATGCAGCAGTGCAAGAGAAAATAGTAGAAGAAAAGCGAAAGTTTATTTCGAATGAATATACGAAATGAATATTTATGTATAAATAGAAAAACTAATAAAATTCATGAAAAAAAAATTAATTAAGGAATTAATTTTTGATGATTTTTTCAAAAGATTATATTATTACTCTTATTATTATAAAAATTCAAAAAATTTATTTTCATAATAATATATTAAATTCAATTAAATTATTTTTTTTTTAATCATGGATAACTTCACAAAATTTAAACCAGTTGAAATTATATAAATTTTAAGAAAAAATATAAAATTGAAGAGTCATGTTACAATCCTTTTCTTTATTATTTGAAATATTATTGCAAATAACACATCATTTATTTCATATTAAAACATATAAATATTTTTAAAATAATATTATTTGAAATAAATATTTTTGATAATTTGAAATAGTATTTCAAATAATATTATATTATATTTGCATAAATTTATATTTCATAAATTTTATTTGAAATTATTTTTATAGTTATTTTATCTGTTAAATTTGAAATAATTTAAAATAAGAAAATAATTTATTATCTGAAATTGCTATTAAAAATGAATCAATATTATTTATAAAGTATTATTGTTACAATATTATTAATATATTCGTGAAAATTTATTCTAAAAATCAAAACAAGTTATATATAAATTATTATAAAAAAATTTCAATTGAAGCTTATTTATTAAGTTACAAATGATTGAAGTTTATGTTAAATGAAACAAGGCAGAGATTACAAGACAGTTTTATTTTTATCAAATTGCTGCTTCGTTCTGTCTATCTCGTTTCATCTAACACAAATTGCTTATAATTTATAACATTTTTACATACTAATTTTATGTATTTATTTTGGCTTTTTTTTAATATATTATTATTTATTATATATTTATTATATTATATATATTATTAAAAATTTATACTCTAAATATTTCCACGAATATATTAACGCCGTATATATTTAAATAATAATGTTAAAAATAAAGTATTTTAAATAATCATTTTTTTTTTCAATTTCAAATAAAATTCTGTTAAATATCCTATCT